ATAAGCAATGACTTCCTATGATTACTTCCTATGGTTACTGATTTTTGCCAGAATAAATAATGCTATAGTGAACACTGCTGTGCATAATTATTTTCTAAATTCAGTATTACTTCCTTAGACTATTTCTCTGTGCATAGACTTTCAAGGAAGATGGATTGAACACTTTATAAGGTTTTTTAGATGTTGCTAAATTATGTATAAAATCATAGCAATTTAAACTTGGTAGCTAAGAAGATGCCAAAAATTATATGGAAAATTTCATATACAACAAAATTTGCCAAATCCTAGGGAACTATGGAATTCAGGCACAAATAAATATACCTGAAACTTTTATCCCATCACACAATATTTATTTTGGGTATGTGAAATGTTGTGGCTAGGAAGGATGACAGATACTTCAGTTAGGACTTTAAATTATGCTACTGTGTGCTTTAAGCCAATTTTGGCTTATGTTTGAGTAGATATCATATTTTGCTGGTTCTAAGATGGGTATTTCCCCCGAACTAGGAGCACCTCTGAAGCACTGTGTCAACTCAATTGACAGAAATATTTTTCCCTACTCAGAAATTCATGAATAATGATGCATCTAACAATTGCTGAGATGTTGATTTTTGAAATAGAGTAATTCTAGCTGGAGTACATTCTGCTGCTCACATTTATACAGTCTCAATCACAGTATATTCAATACAAGCTGTGCACAAGTTCTAAGGCCAGAAATCAAATTAATACCAGCGATATACTGAAAGCAGACTCTACTAGTCTTGAATCTCTCATTATTATGGTAATTGGGATGATTGACATTGCCTTAGCCCTATTATACATCATTTGATTTTTCTGGTGTTCACAATAATACACAAAACAAGATAAGAAATTATATCTGATGTGAAGTAAAGTCATCTATAATGGACAGATGCCACAAAAATTATCCTATTGTATAAGCATAAGGTTAACATGTGTGCTCTTGGATGTGAACACTAATTTAAGTTTCATAGAGTAAAACAACAGAATTATGTTTTATTTGTGTACATATAGATGAGGGAAATAACATTACTTTAGAAGAAAAATTCATTTGACTGTCTAGCCTTGCAAGATGTTACTTGTTCAGGAAGGCTAACAATGCTGCTCATGTAGTGAAGAATGCTAACTTTATGTATTTTATATACTACGTGTCTTCAAAAAAGAATGATATGGTTTGCTGAGCTGATACAGAACATAAAAGCCTCATTGAAAAGTAGCATTTTTAATCACTGTGTGTGTGTGTGTGTGTGTGTGTGTGTGTGTGTGTGTGTGTGTGAAACAGAACATAAGCCTTAAAACTGTTAGGTTGTTTAAGTACCACATGAATCCTTTCTTCTCTCCATGGAGGGATGTGGTCATGAGAAAGATACCTGGGGGGTGGGGGGAGTTAACTGATAACACTTGAATACAGATCGAAGGTGCCTTCAGGCTACCTAAAATCACACTCAAGCATGCAGTTATTCTAATAGAAAATATCCTTAGAGCAAGGAGAACAACTCCTCAATGTACTCCATCTACTTAGCACCTGTTCAATCTTAAGTGATGTATTACATGAGGTTCTGCAAATAGAGTTGGCCAACCAGGAAAAGCTGTGTCACTCAATTGTTTCCCTCCTTCAACAACTCATCTGCTGGCTCATTTCCTAAGGTGACATGCCTGCCAAATTCCAAGGTTAACATTCAGGTCATACAACATTTGCTACTAAATTGGATGCTTTTTAAAATTTCAACTTTATACTTAATCTCAATGGTCACCACTTACAAATTCTTTGCCTGCTTCCTCTAGCTCTCCATCAAAGGATTCTCTTTGTTAGCTTGTCTTTAACATATTATTATTCTTTACAGTAGCACCAGTACCACTGTAACTCTTTTATTCTGTGTGAAAACACAATTCATCAGCATTTATACTTCATGAAGCTATTGAGATGTCCACATCTTTATCCCTGTCTCCTGAACTCTAGATCTGGTATCCAATTGTCTGCTGGATATCCCACAGACATTCAGTTGCTATACAAATCAATCATCATAAACCTTTGACAAACCAGTTCCTCTTTTGTTTTCTCTCTTGATGGGGAAAGAACTATTACAAATATCCAGTTCTCTAAATTAGATCCTGGGTGGATAATTTTTCTTTTGTTGTCTCTTTCATTTCCTTTTTCTCTTTTTCTTTCATCTTCCTTTTCTTTGGGGTACTGGGGGTTGAACTCAGGGCCTTATGTTTGGTAGTTACCACTTGAGCCACATCCCCAGTCCTTGACTCTGTCTTCCTGGTGTTCTCTAACATTCAGCAGATCTCCAACTTTCTCTGCTTCATTTTTCTTTTGCCCCAGGTCTACTGCCTCCAAAACCTACTCCCTCCTTAGTCCAGAAATCTTGAGTATCATAATGCACTCTCAAATGTTTGCCCACCTGCTTTTACTTTAATTTTATCTACCATGTATAAAGTATCAGACTAATCCTTCTAAAATACTGAAATGTGGAATAACATATCTAATTCATCAGTAACAAAATTTTTAATCCTTCCCAACCTGATAGGGATAAATCCGTAGGGTAAATCTAAATTCTTCTGTGTGATTCCTCAATATGCTTAATCCCAGATACTTGACTAGCTACTTGTAGAGTGAATTTTCTCTCCCCTCTCTTCTTCAGGCCTCTTTGGAAAGGGTCTAAGCATTGACAGTGATTCATTTGAAAGATGTAAACTGCCAGTAAATTTAAATGCCTGAGCAAAGGCTATGATAATTTCTAAAACAGAGTCTACCCTCAGAAGTGATAAGAAAAGACAACTGCAAGCACTAGGTTATTTACTAGGTAAGTTACAATACTCTTTTTTGGTGTTGGGATTTGAATTCAGGGCTAGGCAGAAGCTCTGCTACTTGAGCTATGACCTCATAGTGTGTGTGTGTGTGTGTGTGTGTGTGTGTGTGTGTGTGTGTGTGTGTGTGTGTGTGTGTGTGTGTGTGTGTACTAGGGGTAAGCCTCAGGGCCTCATGCTCTTATTTGATGGGAACTCTGTCACTTAAGCCACACCTTCACTTTTGGCTTCTGTTGGTTAAAGAGTCTCACAGATTAATCTGCCTCAGTTGGCTTTCAACACAATCATCTACTCAGCCTTCTGAGTAACTAGGATTATAGTCATGCACTGCAAGTGCCTGGATTTAACCCTTTTTGTTTTGGTTTTACATCATGTAACAGTCTTTATAGTCCCAAACTGTTTTCATATATTTTCATTCTTTGGTTAGAAAAATATCTTAATGCAACAAACAGAAATCAACTGAGGCTGTGACTTTAGGTACAAATATTCTTTAACAAGAAAGGGAAATAATTGAACCCAAAGGATGTTTCATTTTTACTTCATCATGTTAGTTAGCATCCTTTCCTTCTTTGTCTACAAAGGACATTAGTGCTTAATTCAGGGAACTCTCTCATTTTTTTGTTACCTAGGAAACAACTGTTTTTCTGGGTAAATATTGCTCATCTCTAATCAGATCATGAGCTTCCCGGAAACCAAGCACATGGTGTTACATGCGCAACACATAGTCTACAGCCATCTGAGTGGATTAATGAACACATAAATGAATAGCTACTTTTAAAATTCTTTTCCTAGTCATTTCTAGTTTGACCTTACGCTCATATCCAGATCTCTAGACCATTCCTAACAAGAAGTGAATTAAAGAAATGAGGTGGAAGGCAAGAGAAAAAAATGTCCCTATTTTTCTTAGTCAAGCTTGATTTGTACCACAAGGCTTCCATCATTAAATATTTCCTGAGAAGACACTGCAACAATTAAGGGGCTAAGAGTGTATATTTTTGTGTGCTTGTAAGGGGATATCGACATGCCAATTTGACTATTATTTTGATCTTTCTGACTGATACTTTCAGAATGATTTGGAAGTTTAATTAGTATCAACTGCACATTCAATGGATACATGTCGTGAGAAGTCTAGGCAGATGATTTCTTACACAGCGCCCTCTGCAGGCCAGCAGACAGGATGCTGCAGTGATGCTCATGCTACTGAGGCCTGAAGCAGTGTATGCACCTCATCTAACCTCAGGTGTTTCATAGTAAATGCAGGAAGTATGGCCCTGACAGTGGCACGCCATAACATGGAATTTAAGACTGTACGCTGACATTGGGAACATAAAACACAGTGATACAGTTTACATCCCATTGTTAAGCACTAAAGGAAACCATTCAGGCAAGATCTGATCCACATGAAAACCACTTACCCAGGCTTTGCTGGCTCCTTCACTCTGATCCAAGGCATCAGGAAGTGAACAACATTTTATGTAAACACTGAGTTCTCACACAATATCAAAGAAATTAAAGTAAGTGCATTTAAGGACTAACTGAAAAGAATATTTACTTCAGAGGAGATAGTGCAACAGGGATAAAATAATTTTAAAGGATTTATATCAGAACCCTGACTTTGATATAGATTGAGATTGGACTAATAAGGGCCAATCTATAATACATACGGACACAGAGAAATACATATTGAAATATGCTTTAGAAAGCATAACTTAGAAAGGAAGGAAATCCCCAGAGTGCAAGCCAGAAAGTAACTGAATATCTAGTAACTAGTAATTTTCAATAGACTAAAATCTCAGTGGAAAAAAATTACATATGGAAGATCTAACAGATCTTGTTTTATTTACCATCAACTTTAATATGTCATGACTATATTTCAGATGTGTAAATCATGTATATATGCTTAGTTCTAGAGCTACATTATCAGTATCTCTAGGCTTTAAGTATTCAGTTAGTCAAAATAGCAAATTATATGTGTGCAGGAAGTTTGGCTTATTTTTACCCTTGCTTTGACATTTTTGGGGAAGAAAATAAAATTCAACACTGACACTGCAAGGTCTTGGGAGAATTTCGGAGGGAGGGGCCCTCCCACAGGCTGTCAGCTCCCATTCCATTCTTTTGCCTGCCGTCTTCTGCCTGTCATGCATCTGAAAACAGATCTTCTCATTTACCTGAGACAGTGACTGCCGGAGCCGGGCCATCTGCGTGCTATGGCCTTTGTTATGATCCTGTTCAGAAACCATCTGCTTCAGCTTCTCTTTCTCTATAGCTATGCTGTTAAATGCAGACTTCAAGAGAGAATGCACTGTATGGGGAATAAAGTGAGGAATGATATTAAATACAACCAGAAAGAATACACAAAATGATAACTTCTTAAGACTTGAACTCATATCTAGACATTTTCAGGAAAGGCAATGTTATAGTCTAATTAAAAATCAGTATTAAATGGAGTCTACCAAAATACCCACACTCAAAACAAATATGGCAGTTGTAATTAATTAGGATGAAAAATTTAGCACATCATATCAGATGAGGCAGCTAAAAGTTGAAAGCAGCATATTAAGTATCAGTATCAATTTTAAGTATCACTATTGAGCAATTAACTTATAATTCCTACAAGAAAATATTTTACTTGTTATATTTAGTGGTTTGAGCAGCTCTGACTACCCTAAAGTGTCATGCAAATAACTTAAGAGTTATTAAAAAATATTTCCCAAAGTACATTGCAAAAACCAAAGAGCATTTTATGATTCCTGTCAGCATAAAATAGACAGCTGATCTAAAAGTTCTGAGTAGTTCTTCGGAGGCAAGAAATGACTTGGCTTTCTGAATAGTACTTGCACTGCACTGTTTTCTCAGAGAGGATTTTTTTTTTGTGATAGTCCTGAGGCTTGAACTCAGGACTGGGTGCTGTCCTTAAGCTCAAGGCTAGTACTCTAACACTTCATCCACTTCCAGCTTTTTTTGGTATTTAATTGGAGAGAAGAGTCTCATGGACTTTCCTGCTCAGGCTTTGAGCCATTGTCCTCAGATCTCAGCCTCCTGAGTAGCTAGGGTTTACAGGTGTCAGCCACCTACCTGAGAAGAACATTTTAATGTAAAAAACGCTGTGGCTTTAAATCAACAACAACACCTCTCTGATAATTTCCTATGTATATAACATCTTATGCAGCATTCTGAACTTTAAAAAGTTATATTTCCACTTGTTATTTTTACAGTAGTGGTTTCTGTAATATGTCAAGTCTTCTAAACCAGGTATTTCCTTGTTTGAGGAAGTTTATTTATTTATTTTTGGTCATGGGGCTTGAACTCTGGGCCTGGGCATTTTCTCTCAGCTCTTCAGCTCAAGGCTAGGGCTCTACCACTTGAGCCACAGAGCCACTTCCAGTTTTCTGGTGGTTTATTGGAGATAAGAGTCTCATGGACTTTCCTGTATGGGCTGGCTTTGAACCGTGATCTTCAAATCTCAGCCTCCTGAGTAGCTAGGATTACAGGTGTGAGCTACCGGCACCAAGCTTGAAGAAGTTTATTTTTTAAAGTGGAAAATGTTAGCACAAAATATTGTAGAGTAAAGTGGGAGAAATTATCACATGCATGGGATGCACATTTCACTGATTTTTATGCTACATTCCATGTTCAATTTAAAGGTAATAACTTGATGGTTTTAAAAGCAGACTCTCCACTCATTTCAAAACTCATAATGCTTCCCAAAGAGTTCACTTCAACAGTCCTGACTAGTCCTCTCTCTTCCCCTCCCCCCACAGCTTAGAGGATTGATATGTTTGTTGAAAAGAAAACATAGATTTTTTGAACAGAGGCTTTAAAAGATTGTTGAAACTTGTATTTCCTGAAAGGTTCAGGGTTGTAACCTAATACACAAAGCTTTCCTGGGCTGCCTTCAAATTAAGCCATGTCTCTTTAGCAGCTGTGCTAAAGGGATTCTCAACTATGTTATTGTGCTATTCTACCTGCTTTGACTCTAGCCAAGACATTGGCTATAAATCTATGGTGTCTTATGAACAAGACATTATCATGCTAATTTAATAGCATAATTAGCATCCAGTTAAAAATTCAGTGAAGATGCATTTACTAGGAGCAAAAAGAAAGAGTTGCCCTTATAGAATCTCAATTGCCAAATCTGTAGAATAAGATGGGTAAAATAGTTAACTGTTGTAGGGTCACAGAACTAAGGCAGCATCTGATACCTGAAGTTTCGAGTGCTAGAGTAGAAGTTACTCTGAATGCCAAGGCTCTTGTTAAACACTATAGCACACCTTTGTGATGTTTTGAGATTATAAGCTTTTGTTGAGATCAACATTCACAGAGATGTCCTTGTTATATACTCCTATTCCTGAGCCACCAAGCTCTTGAGAATTGGCAGATAATGAATGTATTAGTATCTATTTTCAAAAATATATTGTAACGTATTACTAGCAGTCCCAGAGAAACAAATGATTAGTTTGTAAAAAGGTTTTAATAACTGAAAACATTACATTTACCTCTAAGAAGATTTAAAAAGACTACATTGAAGGGAGTATTATCTTAAGTCAAAAGATTAGCAGTTAAATACCACAGCAAGTAAGAGAGGAGCTAATCTGAGATCCAAGACTCCTTTTGTCAATGACAGACAGGACTGCTCAATCACCTACATCTTGCTATCCTGCTTCTTATTTATTAAATGTTATTCTCTGTAGCTCATGACAGGAATTTAACTCCCACAACAAGCTTTACTGCAAATTTGATGTAAAAAACAGACTCAAGGGTTCAGCTGATTTTTCCATCCCCTCATATCTGAACTAGCCTGTGATGCTTGGGCCTTACAGAATTCAATGGAAATGAAGCTACACCAGTTCTAGAGCTGGCCTAGAGAGAACCAGCAACTTCCAAGTCTGTTGGAGGTCTAAACAGTCATAGACAGGAACAGGGTCACAGCCTTAGGAAGACTTCCAGCTGTCTTGGCAATATGTCAGGAACACCAGGGAAGCCATTTGGGATTTTTCAGTCCCAACCTAAACTCAGGCTAAATTCCATTGAATGAACCTAGTCAGTAAGACAATGCTGAAGCTTGGCTCATACCTGAACCTAGCCTCATAGTTGAACCTAATCTCAATTCCTGACCCATCAGCTCTAAATATAATCAACAGAATGTTGTTTTAAAAACATAGCAAGGGGGCTGGGGCACCTGAGGCTCATACCTGCAATCCTAGCTACTCTGGAGGCTGAGATCTGATGATTGAAGCTTGTTGCCAGCTAAAGCAGGAAAGACTCTTACCTTCAATTAACCACCAGAAAACAAGAAGTGGAGCTATGGCTCAAAGTGGTAGATTGCTAGCCTTAAGCAAAATAGCTCAAGGACAGTGACCAGACCCTGAGTTCAAGTCATGACCAACAAAATAAATAATATTAGTCATAATATAACACCTACTTAGGAAGTAGAAATCTTGAGATGTGGTTCACTATTAGTCTAGCAAAAAGTTATTGAACCAGATGTGATCATATGAACCTCTGTGCCCAGCTGTGTGGGAGACTATAAGGAAGAGGATTATGGACTGTGGCTGACCTCAGCCAAAACTATGAGATAGAATCTAAAATATAACCTAAAAAAGCAGTTGGAGGTTTGGCTCAAGTGGCAGAGTATTTGCCTAGCAAGCCAAGAACCTGAGTCCAAATCCCAGAACAGAGAGACGGGGGGGGGGGAAGACAGACAGAGAGAGAGAGAGAGACTGAGACAGACAGATGGACAGAGAGAGACCGAGACAGACAGACGGACAGAGAGAGACTGAGACAGACAGACAGACACATACACACAGAAGAGAGAAGAGAAGTGGGGAGAGGAATGAGGGGACAGGGAAGGAGGAGAAAGAAGAGGAGAAGGGGAGGAGGAGGAGGAGAAAGAGAAAAGATAGAATCTAATTTTCCTTGTTAAAAATAACTAAATATTACAAGATAACTAAAAGCCATTTAAAAAAAAGACGGTATATAGCATTACCTTGCTGGACCGCCTCTTTCTGTCTTTCTTCCTTTCTCAATCCCAGTAACACCTTAATCAAAACTGACACTGGGGATATGTGTCCTGCATGCAGGCAAACAGGAACCACATCTGCTGTATTTTGTATATAAAACCATTTAATCTTTTTGCCATTACTACCTAGACAAAGACTTAAAAAAATCTTTTTATCAAACAAGTCTCTCATTGAAGAAGAGACCTTTAAAGGACATGTTATTTTTTTAAATATGTTTTTTTATTGTAAAAATACTGTACATAGGGGTTACAGTTACATGAGCAAGGGAATGCGTACATTTCTATCAAGCATTGTTACCTCCTTGTTTTCTCCTTTCTCCCCCTTCCCTCCCATGTTATTTTTATTGATACCTTTCTGTGCAATTAGACAAAATTCTTCTTGTAGCTTTGTATAATCTGTTGAACTTTCCAGAGGGTCAGGGAGGTGACTAGGGGGAGTCTGAAATTCAATATCTGCACAGAGGTTGGGGTTGGAGGAGTGCAGGCGAACCGGTGACATGGTAGCACTGAATGGAACCTGAAAAAGGAAGACATAAATTATTCAAGAGCAACTGTGCCCTGTTCCACCTTTCCCTACACAGAAAAGATCCCTCTTATTCTCTAAAATAATAGCGGCTGCTCTGATGTCTGGCTTAGAGACACTCAGTACTCATTTATTTTGCAGGTAGCTGGGCTGGGAAGGAATCTTGTTTCCCATAGTTGATTTAGAATTGACAGGACTCATTGGGTTTTCATGGTCAGAGAGCGATGGCTACAGAATGACAGGAAGAAGAAGACATAATCTTAGATTTATTTGAACTCTGAACTCCCACTTGTACCTGAAAAGTTACTGGCAGAAAATTGCAGGCTGAACTGGGATTTAGCTGCCTTTCTCTTATCAAAGTCAGGATACAGTTATATTCATTGTTCTCTAAGCCCGAACAGGATCTTACTAAAAATGTAGCAATTCTGGACATGCATATAGAGAGAGTCTCCCTTTCTTCACGGCCATTAGAGAAAACAAAAATCAAGTTTAACAGCAAATATACAAATTTACTAAAATGTGTATTAGTAAATGGAATATATTATACAAATCACCGTAGTTTACCTTTGTGTGTTACATACAACTGATGTTCACATATATATATATATATGTATATGTATATGTGTATATATCTATATCTATCTATCTATCTATCTATCTATATATGGCTTATGAACTGGCCAATAATGAAAAGCATTAGGTAGAAAAGTCATATTACTATAGATTTTCTCAAATGGCTATTGGTGCCTTCCTCTGAAGGCTGGCTCTGCACTAGGTTTGTTAGCTAGACACAAACACCTTTTAATCTCCTTTAAGAAGGTTCAACCTGACATTACAAATGATGTTGGACAACCATTCTCCTTGTGAGTGGAAATACCAATGCCTTTTGCAAGTCATGTCACTAGCAACTTCTCCCTAAACCTCACTACATAGATGTTTATTCAGTTTCCTCAGGAACAATACGTTAGATCCCACTAAAGCTGAGTTTTACATGTTTGAAATGATAATTCCTGCTCTCTATATAGTACGCTGTAGGGAGAAGAAACCAATACCTCTTCTGATGTGTGTATGTATGAGAGAAACACTTCATTTAATTTTTTTGCACTAAACTTGGATTTGGTGAGTGGATTAAGAAGAGTTCCCTTCCTCTCCCTGTCTCATTCCCTTTCTATGTCTGAAAGAAGTGGAGAGAAACAAAATATGTGACCTAACAGGCAATTGAAGGGCAGTTGAGACTTAGTTTGAGAACCTTTTTTGCTGTGGTTTTGCCTGGTGTAGAGTTATTTCTCTCAAAAGATATCTCTGGAACAAAGTAGGCATGAAGCTTTCCCAAAAGTTCACCTAAGTTAGGCATAAGAACAGGTGCTCTCCAAAGAATTTGGTATCTAGAGAGATCAAAGTCTGTATGGCATTTTCCGTGAGAGCCTCACTACTCTAGGGTGGGAGATGTCAACAGCTTCATTTTATCGGGCTCAAACTTGTGCCTGTTCTAAATTTGGAACCCAGAACAGCAAGTAAGCCATCCAAGAACATGAAGCATCAGGATTCAGTAATTTGCTGGCATCCTGTTTAGGTTATTCTCATGATAACGATGAACTGAAGTCTTTTGGGGATACCTGGAAAGAAGTGGAACTTATGTGGAAGAACATCTGAAGATAAATGATGCCAATCTGGGAAAAGCAAGCAGTCTATATCCATCCCTATGGGAGGGACCTGGAGAATCCGTGGAAAGGTTAGTGGATATAAGGAAGTTGTGGGTAAAGACTTTGAATTAAAGATCTAGGTAGACCAGGAAGTATCCAGATTTAAGGATATGCTTCCTGATATAAGACACTAGAGGAATAGTAAGACAAAGAAACATGGGTGTTTTGTTGAGGGAGACATAACGTGTTACTGGTCAGGGAAAAGGTTTTATGTGTACCCAGGAGACCTCAACACTCCAAGGACGCATCTGGCTTGGGAGTCTCTTTTGAGTGTGTGGGAGGGGGGACAAGACTGAGAGAGAGGCTGCATAGGAGACTGTTAGGCAACACACACACACACACACACACACACACACACACATACACACACACACACACTAAGGGACCCACACCTGTCCCTGAAACAATGGTTCCTCTGCTCAATAGTGGGGTCAGATGCTAAGAAAACTGTAAGCTACAAATGTACATTTTGAATATAATGGAATTTTAAATGAGCTATTAATACATAAGATTGATTTTGTTTGTAGTCTACATGGAAAGGGACTTGGAACATTCCATTCAAATTAAGGTCAGGCAGCTCCAGAATTTCTGACTGAAAATGTTTATATGGATACCTGTTTTGTTAAAAGAAAAAAGTGTGTCAAACAGATTATTTTGAGGAAATAACAAAATAAAATTGTGAATATGCATTGGGATGTATTAATTTGAGTATCTCTTCAGCCAAAGGGACTTATTTATTCATGTTTTATTCCTCAACTTGAGTATTATAGGACTTAAAATTTTAAGTCAGTGCTGGTTACAGTGGGAGCTGCCCACAGCCCTTTGTTGGTTTCTACCTGAGAATCCTAGTTGCTGGATTTGGGATTTTCTACTGTACTCAGGAAGGAAATCCTTGAAGTCCTTATAATTGAGAGGAAGCCTGATCCTGAAAAAGTCTGGTACTAATAACTGCAGTTTGGAATGGGGATGTTAGGAGATGCTCTTACCATTTGTCTAAGAAGAAGTAAAGGGGGAAACCAAACCAAACCTGAATTGTGAATGGTACTGCTGGCTCTGCATTTTGCAGCATAAACATGGAAGGAAATGCACACAATAGGTCTCAGATAAATACTAACCTTCCAGGATTTATTGAATCAAAGCAAAAAGTTCCTTGCTGTTAGCGTTTGTGTTATGTGTATAGGGACACTTTGGGAATACAGACTGCTTTGGGAGTCTCATAATTCTCCACATGGGAGGGGTCAGTATCTCCTTGATTCCAAACTCTTGTTCTGTGAGGTCTGTGTGAAGGGGCAGGCTGGCCACTCTGCTAGTGTTGAGGGTGTCAAAAATACATTTTTAAAAACACTTTAGGTACACTTTCCTTTGGTGCAATTTCAGTTGCCTTATCACCTGAGGATCTGAAGAAAGCAAGTGACTAGGAATCATTTTTAAAACTCTTAAGTAAAAGACATCTAAGCAGGACAGGACAGACTGGAACCTGGGTAACTTTAGTGTTAGGAGGGGGAAGGGCTGGGAATAAAGAGGAACCACTGCAATAAAGAAACAGGAGCTGAGTTACTAGCACCAGGTCACTGGGGACAGGGGGTAGAACCTAGAAAACCAGCTATAGGTCCTGGTTATTGTTTTGCTTTGGAACAAAATCAAAGCTAGAGAGCTTAGAGGGTATAGAATAGTCATAGTTATTCCTGAAATATTAGCTTTCCTCATTGTATACCTCTAGGTTATTTTTATAACTTATTGTAACAGCTATGTTGGAATGTGACCATTAATGCTTTCATGTTTGAAAGCTTCTCTCTTTTGCCTTTTATTTAAAAATACAAAGCCATTGTATTCAGATAGGTGCTAGTTCTTCTTTATTATATTCAGTTTGTATTTACAATCTAAAATATGAAAACAGAAGAAACACAATTATTTCCCTTAATGTTGTCTTAGAAGCTAATTATCTAAAGAAGTACTAGTATTTTCATAAGGTTTTCACCTTCTCTTTCCAGACTACTAATAAACATTTGGATGTCATAATTCTATAAATAAGTTTAAGAAGTATTTAACTAATTATGCAGGTCTATATTGTCAAATTTGTTATTACCTCAATGTCATGGACTTCATTCATCTGCCCTTGAATACATGCATAAGGTATTCTTTCACTATGAATGTTTACTGATTTATTTATTCAAAGGTTTACCAAACTGTAAATTTAAGAGTAGGTTCCCTAATAAACTCCCAGTCACTTATTATTTCAATAACCAAAAGCATTTCTGATCCTCAACCCAGCTTAACATTCATATGAAGCCAGAGTTGATTACTAATCACGAAGTAAGTAACCAATAATCTCTGCACAAATAGCTAGTTTTCTACATTGCAACCCAAATCTCTGTTTTTAAATAATGTTAGTCTTGAAATACACCCCAACTTTAACAAGAGCTCGTTAATTCAATAAACATGTGATAAACAAAAATACCCTGATTGCTATGAACTCAAGAATGTGCATATCTTAAAGCTCACAGGATCTCATGATTAACTAAATGTTATTACTTTTATTAAGCAAAAGTTTTTTGTTTTTTTTTTTTTTGTTGGTCATGGGACTTGAATTCTGGGCTTGGGCACTGTCCTCAGCGCTTCAGCTCAAGGCAAGCACTCTACCACTTGAGACACAGCACCACTTCTGATTTTCTGGTGGTTAACTGGAGATAAGAGTCTCATGGACTTTCCTGCCCTGGCTGGCTTTGAATTATGATCCCCAGATCTCAGCCTCCTGAATAAGTAGGATTACAGGTGTGAGCCACCAGTACTTGTCAAAGCAAAACATTTTTATGTTCAAATACTCTGCCTAATCTTCTGTATGGACACTCACTGTTCTTTGTGTTACCTATACCAATATGTTCTCTATTTTCCTTATATTTACTCCATTTCCTTTCAGAGGAAAAACGACAACAAATCTTCTCAAATATGAATTAAACACCATGTGACTCTGTTTTTTTTTAACATTCCCATTTGCACACTATTATTTTCTGATTTTCATATAAATATTCTTTCCAGAAAACAATTTTCCTTTGCTAAGTATACCTTGGGCAGCCATTTTAAAATGGCATCAAAATTCATCTTCCCTTACCCTCAGTACTTTCTTACATCCTACATAAGCAGTCACACTGCTACAAAAAAAAACCAAACCCACAATTTTTTGTCTGTAGTAACATGACTTTTCTCACAAAGGCAAATCAGTAGATTCCAACATCAGTATGGCAAAAAAGAAAGAAAAAAACAGAGAGAGAGAGAGAAAGAAAGAGAGAAAGGAAGGAAGGAAGGAAGGGAGGGAAGGAGGGATGGAGGGAGGGAAGATAGAGAAAAAGAAAGACAGAAAGAAAGAAAGAGAGAGAGAGAGAGAAAGAAAGAAAACTCCAACCACAGAGCACTATACTCAGTTTAGCAAACCTGTGTTGAGTTTAAACCATTTCTTACACTGACAAAGTAAAGATCTGCATTGTGTATTTGTTCTCCAATATAAAAATGAATACCCGAGTCCAACTCCTGCCATTCAAAGACGGCCAGGTAGAAGCTGTTTCGACATAAGGGGGCTACAGCTGATGCCATCCCTCACGAGTGGCACCGTCAGAAGAGGGAGGTGACCTGTACACAGTTTCTCACTCTTATTAAACTTCCACTTGAGATTGAAATCCACTCACTGTTGTAGCCACTGCTGCCGCTAGCCTCTGCCGGCGCCGAGTTGTGCTGAACTGGCCCTTCGCAGGTGGCCCTTCCTGACAGTGAATGGGAGAAGAGAAGGGGGTAAAAACACAGGGTCAGGGGAGGGACAGGATGGGAGATGGGAGGATGGAAGATAGTCAGACAAGGGAGAGTTTTTAACTGAAGTTGACTTGGTTTTCAAAAAATTCTTAGCACTGAAAAGAGCTCATGGGGAGGGGAGAGGTATTCATGCCATGAAAAAGGTTCATTGTTCTCATGGCTGGCCGATCAAACACTGCAAAACTATTTATTGAGTACAATCTCTACCCCAAAAGGCTAAGAGTTGTGAATGTATGAATGGCTGAGATTCTAAAGTAATGTGCACACCGCTTTTTTCAGAGAGACCATGTTATATGAAGTAACAAGGCAAATACTAAAATTAACTAGTCATAATGGGAGGCCCCTGTGGGCCAAGCAGACTCTTCTCATTTCTTAATGCCCTACCCAAGAAAGCATGCTGGCTAGAACTCAGCATTAGACAGAGTGCCGGAATCTTCAAATTGAAGAATTTTCTAAGGAGGAAGCCAGCTCCCAAAAGGTGGCAGAGGACCCTCAAGTTCCTCGATGTGTGGAGAAAATGCCTGTACATTTAGCTACAAGAAATTCAAAGTACAGATTCATTTAGTGACTTGAACATATGCATTAGTTTTAGGGGAATAATTCCAGAAATTTATTTTATTCATTCCTTTCTCTCTCTCTCTGTCAGATGGAATTAAAGGGCATTTCCTTCTAACTACCCATATCTGATGGGCTTTGAAGCTTCCACATTGTAAGTGGTAGTTTTATTTTCAATTGACAGATGTATACTTTCTCACGATAATCTAACAGTTTAGATTGAAAATGTTAGATGACTGCTTTTACCTGTCATTATGATAGAAAAATATTTAAATTGTTTTATCTCTAATTTTCTTTAAATTTTCCAAATTATATTCATATTTCTACTTCATTTTCACAAATCTTCTGCATGCATACATACATATCAGACATATATATATATTATATATATATTATATATATATATATATATAATCTGTTTTCCAGGAAGTTTTCTATAAAAATCTCTTTATACTAAAACAAAAAACTCATTTTTACCATTCAGTATAATTTGAGGATGATAAAATTTGGGGTAGCTACATGTGACTGGCAGATCACTTATCATTAATACATAGTTCTTACTATTTCTAATGCCTCCAACATCTAGTGATCTAATATTTAATTTAACCTATTAATAACACAGGAAAGCTCTTTCTCTACAGCACACCTATAAAATCATTCCTTCTTTGGCCTCGTCTGCCTTATTGAAAACTCCAACTGTCAATGCATAATGTTATTGAGATTAACAGTACTCAAAAACTTGAAGTCTCTTTTCTGAGAGATAATCCCACGGACCCTTCTATCACTGTGTAAGTTATACTTGGATTCCTGAGGTCAGACACTCATATGCATGGTCACAAGTATGTCCATTTAGGTCTAGCACTTACCTTCATATTCAGATCAAGAGCACAAGCTAACCAACCTATCCCAAAATAAGCATTTACCATCCAGCGTGACATATTCTTCACTTTCCTGGGGTCATTTTTTAAAAGAAAGATTTATAGTGTAATTACTTTTAAATGACAACTTCATGACACAAGATCAATGACAATGGCAGTGACCACCACACAGTTTAGCTTCCATCATAGACAGCAGGTAACTAAGAGAGCACATAACAGAAGATGGGAAATGAGCCGTCACAACCGAAAAGCCTCTCAAGCTGGCTTAGCAGTGATCACCAGGGAAAAGCAGATGAGAACAGATTCAAAACAGACAGCAGCCTCATTAGATGAAATTCCCAGAGTAAAAAGACAATTGCAGATAGGAAGGAAAAAGCAGTTATTAGGGTTTGGAGGAAGTAGTAGTGCTGTGTTCGATCTACTCGATTAAAAATGAATGCCATGATTATCTGCAGGCAAATTGCTACTAAGAAAGATAATGATGAGGGCCATAGTTATCTCCACATAAGCTTATGGTTCTTTAGTAGGTTTGTGATGTTTGGAGCAATCTTTCTGTCACAGAGAATGAGCATCCCAAAGGCTGGTGAAAGCACAGAAGGTCCATGGATGATTCCAAACTCTATAGCATTTCAGGTCAGGCAAAGAAAAAAGAAACTTAGGAGACTACCTCAACTAATGACTGGGTGTGGTGCCATAAGTCTGTTATGCCAGCTATGGGAGAAACAATAACTAGTAGCAATTGCCTAGGCCTGTCATCCCTAGAGATATGGGTAAAGTATAATTAGGATAAAAACCTAGCCTGTCCCAGACAGAGAATGAGACCCTACCTCAAAAAAATAATGAAAGGAAATAGAATGTCAGTGGCTTACACCTGTAATCCTAACTATTCAGAAGGCTGAGATCTGAGGATCAAGGTTTGAAGCCAGCCTGGGAGGGAAAGTCCATGAGACTCTTACTTTCTATTAACCAGTAAAAACCCAGAAGAGGTATAGAAGTGGGAGATCACTAGCCTTGAGGAAAAAAAAAAAGCTCAGGGACAGTGCCTAAGCCCTGAGTTCCTGAATTCAAGCCCCAGGACAACTCATGGCTCAAGTCACTAGGGACAGTGCCTAAGCCCTGAGTTCCTGAATTCAAGCCCCAGGAAAAATCATGGCTCAAGTCACTAGCTTCACAAGTCTAAGTTTCAGGTTAAATCCTCAATAACACCAAATAAGCAGGAATATATATATATATATATATATATATATATGCATATATGTATATGAATTACACATGCCATTTTTGCCACCTCTAAGTAATACCAAAATGAAGCAAAATAGCATAAATAAAAATTTAAAAACAAACCACTCAAACATGTGGGAGGAATATAAATGGACAATATTCTCCTGCATTTTCAATGATTTATTATGATGACTCAGAAACATCTTCCTAACTTCTCTGCACATTTAGAAGTGCAGACTGTGTCTAGAAAGCATATTAACAGTTGTGTGGTTTCTTCCAGAAAGGAAATGGAACAATGTGGGAATTATGATGGGCTTCCTAGCCACAGGAGTCAGTCGAAGGGCTCTGTGCTCAGACTTGCAGAGAGCCAATCTACCCATGAGAGCAACCAAGAGCAGGAATCTGTTCCTTGCCAAGCCTCACAAAAACAGACTGAGATAATACCTATTTGCAAATATTTATGTTCCTCTGAGGTTGCTTTCCTCTATTATTTAAAGGATCTGGCTTTTTTATTTATAAAAATGGTTCTTTTTTCCTGGCTATGAAAACCATATCATTATCGTTCAAACACATAAACAAAAAACAAACAAACCAGGGCAATTATAAGATCACAACAAATCAAACTGCCAAAGGCTAATTTTAGCTAATTTTCTTGTAAAATTATTTGGCACTTTAGTCCAACAGAACTAATTTTATGAACAGGAGGGAAAGCAAGAAAATATAAACAAAAGAACACACAAAATTGTATTTGTAGGATATAGGTATCCTAAGTAAAAAATGTGGATTGTTAGTACTTAGGAAAATTTATTTTTAAATACATCAAATTAGCAAGCAAAGTAATAGTTTGTTATTTACACATTCAGAATTACAATGCAAAGACTTACTAAAGTAGTCAGAATTTGAGAATTATTTTGTTAACTATTCAGGAAAAAAACTGAAGCATTCTGAAAAGCAGTTCCTTTTACCTTTGTGTTATGATAAAACATATTTATAGTGAAAAATGTTTAAGACCATTGTAAGTATTATTTTGATTATTCAGGGAAAGAATCATTTATAATACACAGCTAAGTTTACTAGTAGAGATTTTAGCTTAAGAAGATGATTTATCATATAAGAGGTTTTAGGCATTTACCATATTTTTGGATCATTGCAATGTAATCACATTAAGAGGATCTTTAAAAATCCAGAACACCTATTTCAAATAAAGAATTCATTTCAAGCAAATTTCAAGTAAATTCATCACAAGCCATTAAGACTTCAGATTTAAAATGATTGTTGCAGTTCAAATACTACTTATATTTGTTTGTAGAATCATAGAATTTCAAACTTGAAAGGGAATTAAGGGATCATTAAATTAACTCAATCACTTTACCCTGGAGCAAACAGAACTCCAGAAAATTGAGCAGAAGTACACGAAATTATACAGCCAGACAATCACAGTGAGTATGCTAGAACTTAGGGTTTATGGATTTCTTATTTTTTACCTATCAAGAAACAGAAAAAAAACTCTGCATGAAATTCATCCATAAAAGTCTATTTTAATGTCTTGTATATGAGTGTTCATCAAAATCCACTAGATTTTTAGTTTAGACATAATATAACTTTATTTTATTTTATTTTTTTCTGGTCGTGGGCCTGAACGCTGGGCCTGGACACTGTCCCTCAGCTCTTCAGCTCAAGGCTAGCACTCTACCACTTGAGCCTCAGTCCCACTTCCGGCTTTTTCTGCTTATGTGGTGCTGAGGAATCGAACCCAGGGCCTCAGGTATGCAAGGCAAGCACTCTACCACTGAGCCACCTTCTCAGACCCTAGACATAATATAACTTTAACTTTTATTTCAAAGTCTCTTCACTTATATCCAAGTAAGTAAAATAAGATTTCCCATTATTTTAAATAATACAACTCTGTTTAAAAAAGCACAGGCTACTTACTCAATCTAACATCTGTGAACTGTTATATTAAAACTAATACTTTAAAAGTAATTGAAAACACAAAGGAAGGAAAAGTAAAAGCTGTACCTGCAGTTGTATTTTTGTATCTTTGCTGACACTTTTTGTTCTCCAGCGTCTTGTGACTCGCTTGTCTTTCTTTGAAATATCTACACAGTTAGCCTACGTTACACAAATAGTTAAAAGCAACAAAGGATTATTAAGTTCACACAGGTGATATACATACAAACAGCATAAGCAAGTTAGTAAGGAATCACTGTTAGAACCTTAAAGCAAATCAGCCAGGAGAGAAAGGCATCACATTAAAAGCCGAGACTATTACAACTCAGTTGTAAAAGATTTCTGATAGGCAAAATGCAAACAGGATTAGAGATTGTGAGCATCTTTTCTACGTGAAAAGGTAGCCAATTCTGAGAATGTCTGAATTTATATCTTCAAAGCAAACAGGGAAGAATAATCCAATATACCTCCAAAGCAGTTTGTACTGTATTTAAATGTTAAACATTTTTAAAAAGCAATGTAATTAATAGTGACACTAAGATTCAAAAATGCTAAGAATGGCTCCAGATTATAAATTAACCTGTAAATTATGTTTCTTTTTAAGCATCATTTTGACTGTTCATAGAACAATCCAATGCAGATTAAAAATTATTTTCTTAAGTATTTTTTAAAACCAGCAACAGTTATATGATTACCTGCATATCAGTAAAGTTAGGTGCTGACTGAGTTCTCTGAAGAATCTCCAAATTTTGCAGTAGTTTGCTAAGTTCCACAAGGTTTGACTGACAGTGTGCAAGATCTAATAAAAATCAGAAATTAAAACATTAGAATTGGGCAAGAATGGAGGTGATGGTAATAAAAGTACTCCACATTATGGTAAATATAATTAGGCAGTCTCATGTTTATACTACGGTGATATTAGCAAGAGAAACAAAACAGACCCTACTCTGGTTTATAACCATAAAAATTGATCATTAGATGATCTCAAAGGTAATTCTTATCATTTGTAACTCTTAGCACAGAACCATTAAAATCCCCAAATTATGCATGATGGCCTTCCTTCCCTGAAGGCTTTGTCACCTGGGAAAAACACTCAAAGGGACTTAATAGTCTGTGGTTTTATCCTTAGAGGCTTGCCTACCTTTTCTTCTAGAACAGTTTAGAAGGTAGTTGGACAAAATTTGGATGGAGCCAAATTCGAGTTCAGAAAAACAGGAAGGAATACAGAATCAGTTACAATTTAGCTTACTAATAGTATTGCAATAAATGATTTATTAAAAAACATATGAAACATTGTATTATTCAATATTTTATCTCCTTAAAAAATGTGCTCCAAGAGCTAAGCAATTTTCCTGTAGAGTTGTAAGCTACATATGAACAGCCAAAATCTTAAAGCTTTAGAGTTATAAATCGGATACCTAATGGCTTCAATAAGATGATATATCTTAGGAAATACAACCAATGAAACAGTCTTACTTTTGAAATTAACAGATCTCAATATTAGGTGCTTTTCATGACAAATGACCAGTATATATTTCTTTTTTTAAGTGCTATAGGAGATTTAAGAGGTTCTTATGTCTTGACGTCATCAGAACAGACTTAAAAGAGTGGACCTTTTTTTTTCTTTCTGTGCCTAGAAACTTGAGAGAAAGCTTTCAGCAAAATGGGAAAGCCTGGAAGGGTAGAGAGGGCCCTGCAGGCCAGGAAGCACATCTGTCCAAAGGTATACACATTGTTCATGGAAGAGCAGTTTGGTTGAGTCTACAGAAGGCAAGGTTGAAAGGGTGTGCAGAGTTAAAATACCAAATTATGGGTTATTAAAGGCTGGGCTATGCAGTTTGAATTAATGCTGCAGAGCCAATGGATAATAACTAAAGGGCTTTTTGTTTGCTTTCTTTTTGCACTGATAGTGGGCTTGAACTTAGGAATGCACTCTCCCTTGCTTTCTTGCTCATGGGTGACACTCTACCAGTTGAGACATGCCTTCCACCTAACTGAATGCTTTTGCATCAAAGCTATTTTTAATAACTAATAGTCTTAAGATAGCACTATGTAGTGGACAAAGAATTGGCTTTGGGGTTAGACAAATATGGGTTGGCTAGAATCCCAACCTCTCTATCAAGACAACTGTATAATTTTGGACAAATTTCTGAACCTTTATACATTTTACCTGCCTCATCCACAAAGTGGAGAGAGTGGTAATATCTACGTCTCATGGCTGAATATAACAGAATAATAAGGCTGCTAAGTATGTGTCCAGGGCTTTCATACAATCTCAAGTATGGTAATTTCCCAATGAGCCTCTGAGAAAGATGAAGCAGGAAGAGCAAGAGACTGAAGCTGATAAACCAGTCAGGAGACTGGATGACCATCAGAGACAAGGAGAATGGCTGGCCTAAGACAGGAATCAATTGAGGACAAAGTCAGACAAGTGGAAGGTTCACAGAGGATGTTTTCAAAGAAATAACAGAGGTTGATCTTGACTGGATGACAGGAAGGAGGGTCAAAGACCTGAAAAGCAACACAACATCTTTAAACACAAACATTCACTGTGCTGTTAAAATACTAAAGTTTGAAACACAGCTCTACTTTAGCAACCATAAAAACTAAGCCAACAGAGAAAAATTCTCTGGACCTAAGTTTCCCAGAGGTCTAGACCAGAAGTTGACTTAAAACTGCTCAAGGTTTAAAATTGCTGCAAAAAATTGTAGAATCCTCAGAAAGTTAAGGTCTAGCTTCATTCTCCAACCTCAAGTTACTGTATCATCTGAGTATTTGGTGACTACTCCCAAGGAAAACCCATTATTGAAATGTAAGCTGGTCATGATTATGAATATAAAATCCCTCCTAAATTATAGTTTCACAGAAACTTTGAGTTTGGGATGTGGCTGTCTCAGAGGTTTGATAAAAAAGCTGTAGCTTCACATATAACTAGAGTGAAAGGACATATTGGGGGTGGGTTTGGGAGACTACACAGATCGACAAGTTTTAATTTCTTTTCTAAGTGAGAATATTAAGAACAGCTTTCTATTATAATTTTCATCTAAGGAAGAACTTAAAAATTAATCCTGACATTACTTCAAGATGATATGAACAAACTAAGTCGGGCTGGGAAGGTGGCCCAGTGGTAGAGTGCTTGCCTTGCATGCATGAGGTCCTGGGTTCGATTCCTCAGCACCACATAAGCAGAAAAAGCTGGAAGTGGAGTTGTGGCTCAAGCAGCAGGGCATTAGCCTTGAGCTGAAGAGCTGAGGGACAGCACTCAGGCCCAGAGTTCAGGCCCCATGACAGGCAAAAAAAAAAAAGAAAGAAAAGAAAAAATTAACTCAACTGAATCCTATATTCCCTACATTGCCCTTGTTTTTCTCAACTTTGAAGATCAAATGAAAACCATCTGATTGACTAGAAATGGCCTACAGAACAAGTGTGGACCGATGTGCTCTGGCTGAGCAAGGAGATGGTAGGAGATTAAGCTCAGATTGGGCAGAATAAGGGACTTCTGTGTTAGTTTAGATTATTTAAGATTAGATCAATAGCAAACACCCCCAAAACAAGTAACTATAGATAGAGGATGCAGTATATTGGAATTTTGCTGGATCTGGTTTGGAAACAGATACTTGTTTTACAGGAAAGAAAAGCAATAGAGAAGCCTAGAGTGGAAGACAGTGCAGAGTACAGGAGAATGGGCTTCCAGGGTTGGGGTGCTGTGAAGAAGCCACAGGGAACCAGTAAAGAAAGCAGAAGAGAAGCCTGAAGGGGATGGAAGTCAAGGCATGGGCAAAAACTTAGATTCTTGACAGTGTGGGAAAAATGGAAGGTAAGAAACCTGGGTCATGACATGGAGTATCATCTAGTACATAAAAATAAGGAAAAGGAAAACCCAGGGGACAATCACAGAGGCTAAGATTAAAACTGCAGCACTCTCATCATGAGTTTCTGATTTGGTTTTGTTTTGGTCCGGACTTATGATAGGCTACAGAAAGGAGAACGAACCTTCTGCACATCTGTCCATTTCTTCTGAGTCCTGTAGCCAGGCCGCCACTTTGCTCTGGCCAGTTGTGCAGGTAGCAGGGAGACTACTGCTGCTTGGTAAAGGGGACTGCCATGGAAAGCTGTTTGATTGCGCCTAAAACAAACAAAAGCAGAGAAAGCATATGATTGCAGAAAGCAGAAACAGTACAAATGTCAGGCATTATGGGTGCCCTGAAAATGACATGAAGGAAAGAACGTAAGAAAGATTGCATTCAAGAGGTAGAAGAAAAAAAAGACGTAGAAGAAATTTCTGGCTAAACATGACATGCACTCAGTGAGTGGGAAATTCATAGCAGTAACAGAACTCTCATTAAATAGGGAGCTCTACCATTCAGGAAAGGGGATAATGTTCAAGTTTGTCATGTGTCAGACTCATTAGATCTGGCAGCTCAGGTCCCAAGCATTTAAAAATTACTCAGCAGATTGTATTTTATAGTATTTTCATTGAAATACTCTTGTTTCATTTTTGTTGTTGTTGTTTTGTTCTTTGGTGCCAGTCCTGGGGCTTGAACTCAAGGCCTGGGAGTTGTCCCTGAAGTTTTCGTTGTTGTTGTTGTTTTTGCTCATGGCTCTACCTATTGAGTCACACAGTTCCATGTCTAGCTTTTTGGTAGTTAATTGAAGATCAGAGCCTCATGAACTTTCCTTTCCAGGCTGGATTTGAACCACAGTCCTCAAATGTCAGCCTTCTGAGAAGCTAGGATTACAGGCTTGAGCCATCAACACCAGGCACCATTGAAACACTCTTAGTTCCTGACGTTAGGCCTTTCCACTCTCAAAGCCTTCTGTGTCCTACAGTCAGCCACACGTGACTCCCAAACCCATTACCCACCAGCAAGAAGCCTTCCATGCTGAAAACTGTATAAAATGGCAATCTTGCCATTTAGTGTCTATTGCTATAGACTTTCCATCTACATGAAATATGTAGAAACCAGTGTGAGTGCAATCAATACTCAGTGAAATAAACAGAAACTTATTTTCCAAGAAGCTGAAATAATTTTCAAAGTCCATCTATGTCTTTAATATTCAATTACAACTGATTGTGTCTCTTCTAAATCATTATAAAGTGAATGATGCCCATACTTAGCAAATCTAGACATATTTATTAACCACACAGAGCCACAAACCAATTAACATTCAGGAGCCTCCTAACTTGATATACAGAAGGGATAAAACATACAAAAAACGACTTCTCTTCAGTCTTCATTGCATTTGGAAAAATGTAATGGAAACCTTTCACTGACTTAGTCATAGAGGTATATGATTTGCAACTAGAGAAACAGATAGATCTTTGTGAAACCAAAGTAAAGAGCTTTCTTATTGCCAGACTAATGGGGAGGATTGGGTTTCAGTCACCATTCTCAGATATCATCTAAGTTATTTGATAAATACGATAGGGGACAAAAAATAATGCATCTTTTAAACAACACTTTGTGCCAAAGATGTAGGTAGAAGCTGAAAAAAAACAAATTAAAAATTATGTTTTTCAAGAAATATGTAGTATATATTTTTCATTTAATCTGGACAAATACTGAGATTTATCCTATCCTGTGTAAGAGCACAGCAGGTCCAGAGAAACTAGAGGAATATAAAGGGAATCTATAGGACCCCAAACTTCCTGGTCCTCTAACATTCTGGCATGTTCTCTTTTAATTTCAGGATTTGTTGGTATTAGAGCTAACATACACTCTATTCCTAGAGAAAGGTAATTTAGTTCTTCAGAAAGCTGCAACCAGAACAAAATCATGTAAGCAATGTCACTTGTTAGAATACAATTAATGGGATTTATCAAACTTTATTTAAGTAATTTCTACTGAAATAAGAAAAAAAACTGGCTAGTGAAGATCTTTTCCCAATCCGTGGGCTTTCTATTGATCTTGCTAGCTATGTCCTTTGCCATGCAGAAGCTCTGCAGTTTCATGCAATTCCATTTGTCCAACCTTTCTTTGATTTGTGTTTCTGAGTCTTTATTAAGAAAATTTCAGCCTGTGCCAAGGGGCCCTAAAGTTTCTCCTATTCCTTCCTGTAATGTTTTCAGGGTGTCTGCTTTGACTTTGAGGTCTTTGATCCACTTGGAGTTGATTCTGGTGCAGGGTGGTATATAAGGATCGAATTTTAGTTTTCTACAAGTGTTTAACTAATTTTGCCAGCATCATTTACCAAAGAGGCTGTCTGTCTTCCATTCTATTTTTTTAGCTCCCTTGTTGAAGGTTAGGTTGGCTATAGGTCTGTGGGTTCATTTCTGGGGTTTTCAGTTCTATTCCATTGGCCTTCAGGTCTGTTCTTGTGCCAGTACCAAGCTGTTTTGATTACTATGGCTTTGTAGTAGAGTTTGAAGTTTGGTATTGATATTTCTCCAGCACTGTTATTTCTGCTAAGGATTGTTTTTGCTATTCAACCTATGACCCAGCAATCCCACTTTTGGGCATTTACCCAAACGATCACAAATGAGGCCACACTAAAGCTACCAGCACGAATAGGTTTATCAGAGCATTACTCACCATAGCTAAGATATGGAACCAACCCAGATGCCCCTCAGTAGATGGATGCATCAAGAAAATGTGGTATATATACACAATGGAATTCTATGCCTCCATCAGAAAGAATGACATTGCCCCATTTGTTAGGAAACAGAAAGACTTGGAAAAAAAATCATATTAAGTGAAGTAAGCCAGGCCCCAAAAAACATAGGTCCCATGGTTTCCCTTATTTGCAATAACTAGTATATGTCTAGGATAATCTTACCAGACAAGCAGAAAAGGTCAAAAGCTATGTACATATGACCATATAAGATGATGCTAGGTGAAGTGAGCCCCAGGACAGGGACACAAGAGGTTTTAATCTTTCTTGCTGTTGTTTTTAGTGTACTTACAATGTACTATGTGATTTTTTTGTTTCTTTTGTATGTTCTTCCCCCATAGTATAACCCCTGTTTTCACCGGATTTGATTCCAGTGCCCTGCATCTTGTATATACATTTTTCTAATTTGAGGAGGAGAAGGGAAATAACAAAATGCTGAAACAAGGATACAGGTTGACCCATTGTAACAATGAGACTTACAAGACACTATGTTGGAAATAAACTTTACAACTGAATAATGTTTCATTGAATCTGTTTGAACTCTTGCTGTTTTTTCAATAAGGGGTGTCTAAGTGCTTTACAAAGGAAACTTAGACCAAGAAAGAAGAATCTCTACTGAATTGTTTGTGAATCCAGTCCTTGGGGCAAGTGTCTGTCCTCAACTTCAGGTGTCAAGTGTGAAACTGGAGTAGCCCTGGGCAGTTTAATGCTGCTGTGTTTCAGGAAACGAAATTATTGAATCAAAGGCAGAACAGCTGCCTTTCCGCCAGTTGTCCTGACCATGACTTTTAATCAGGAAATCCCACTAACTTTTCTATAACACAGAAAATGAACTCTTTACTACAACCCAAACAACAAGTTCAGCCTCACTTGCCCAGCACCTGGTATAATAGAAGTGGTGCCAAGTTTAGGAACAGATTTGGAATCCCATGCTGGAATGGCTATACTACTTATGAACAGATTATTTAGTGGCTCTGATTTTTGGCTATAGTAAAAATTAAAGATGAGTGAATAACAAATGCTTAGCACAGAACTGGTCACTAAAATAGGCTCTACATTCTCCAGCCAACCATCATTAACTCTGTGACAGACTTACTAGCCTTTCTGAGTCATGTATACATTATAGCTCAGGGCAAGAAATCATGTTTCACTTTCAAAACTTGGGGATCATCTTTTTTTTTTTTTGTTGGTTGTGGGATTTGAACTCTGGGCCTGGGCACTGTCCCTCAGCTCTTCAGCTCAAGGCAAGTGCTCTACCACTTGAGCCACAGCATCACTTCCAGTTTTCTGGTGGTTTATTGGAGAGAAAAGTCTCACAGACTTTGCTGCCCAGGCTGGCTTTGAACTGTGATCCTCAGATCTCAGCCTCCTGAGTAGCTAGGATTACAGGTGTGAGCCACCAGCACCCGGCGGGACCATATTATTACCCCAGAATGTATCTGATTTCTGCATGCTGACTGAACCACTGCTTGTTCTACTTCCCAAGGTTTTTACAAAGTCACATGAAAATAGAAGGTAGTCCATTTATTAGAATGGAAAAATAACTGAAAATGCTTTTGGTAATCCACATTTCTGCCCAGTTTATACTTGTATAGCTTTAATGCCACTGCCACTACCATATGTCCTCTGAGAGTCAGTTGACAAAGCAAGCTTTCTCTTTTTGGTGTTTTCAAGTAAGACACAGTATTGGGTTTGCATCATTTTTTAAACAATTTGCAAGCTGATTTTTTTATAGTGCAAAGCCCTACCTTTCCATCTACGACAGAAACATTTGCAGCTGGGGAGGACTCAGCTGTAGAGGTTGCGGGAAATATGTGAAAACTAGCATCTCTTGGTGATCTCACAATTTCATTCTGACGATACAATCGGTGATGGCGGAGTTTGGCGACCCAAGCATCAAACCAGTCCTGGGATTTCACCTGAAACAGTGAGAAAGAGGTGAAGGTCACTGGGAAACCAATCTCCTGTGTACCACGGCAGCATTCCTCTGCTCATATCGGAGAAGCTGTTGAAAAGTGATTTCACCTTCAAATGGTAGATGTGCTCCTCCGTGTCGAGGTCTATTCGCCGAGCTTTCTTTTTAATTGACATGACGGACAGTCCAACATCTATGCTCCCATGAACTTTCCCTTTTTGAATCTGAAATTAAAAGACTAATAAATATGCCAGAAGGATATATAGTTTCCTGTGTTTCTATACTGAACTGTAGTGGGCACAAAGTAATTTTTAACTTATCTATGGAAAGTGGGTAACTATGCCTCTTTAATAAAAAGAAAATGGTTAAGATCCTTACAATGAGGATAGTTAAAGTGCTGTGACTTTACACCAACTTCAGTACACAAGACTTAACCAATTTACCTCTACTTTGGGCAACCCCACTAATGTCAGTTCTCAAAATTCTAGATTACATATCTTATATCTTCCTAAAAATACAACTTCAGTGTTTCCTAAAATTACAGTGGTCAACTTTTGACCTGTGATTCAGAACAGCCACAAATAGTCATCTGGACGACGGCGGTCAGGGAAGAACTGGGCAGGTGGGAGCAGCTGGCTCTTCTTCTGGCTGCCCACTTCTGATCAAGAAGACAGCTCATGATGGCAGAGATGGGGACAAAACTAAAATCTGAGCCTTTGCTGACTTCTCCCACACCATAACCATAAAGAGGGAATTTTCTAGTTTTGCATGTACCCTGCTTTGTGTGTCAAACAAAAATAGATCATTAGTTTGGAATAATATTAGTGAATTGTTATTCCCAAGATAAAAGGATGTATGAAATAGATATAAAATTCAAAGAGAGTTTTTAAAAGGACACGGACAAAAATAAAGGTTGCTTTAAATCTCAAAAAAACACATTAAGCAGAGTTTGCTGGGAAGTATAGAAAAAATGGAGGTTATTTGCATTTTGTCTCCAAGAGAGAAATGATGATTTTGTTAATGTGTCAGTTTTCGGTTTAAGCTTGTTTTTAAAAATATACATCAAGGTAATTATGGCAAATCTTCTTGTACTAGTTTGAGATTCTATGCTACTCTGATTATAAAAATAAAACCCCACTTTCTTTAGAACATTCAGTTTGGTGGCTCATTAAACATTATAGGCATAGACATGCACAAAGCTGGTAAGTGGGGCACAGGGCTTGTACAATTACAGTGTTTACTCACTTCAAGTAGAATTCTAAATCAATCCTGAAACATGTCCTGTGTGTGCTACTTACATCAAGTGGTGCCTTTGAATACTTTAACATTCCATTATCCAGGACAAAAAATCTCTGCAAGAACCAAACACACTTACTTACTCTCTGTATGCGAATTATATAAAACATTTGCAAATATGAGTCTAACGTTGCTTGACATTTCACAGTTAGTACATTTGATTACTTTAATATGTGAACTCAATGCATCTGGCCACTGTCAGTCATGTTAAATGGTAAGGATGTTGGAGCTCTAGCTCTGGGCTATGAGTATTCTACAAAGGTTCTTTCACACATAACTCAATACAGATGGGGTCTTTCCACCATGGTTTTTCTTAGCGAGAGGAAATCTGAGTCTGCAGCTAAGACTTACTGAATGAACCAACCCTGGATATTCCTGAAAGTGAAAAAGAGTAGGAAGAATTCCTCACAATTTGACAGGAATTTTTTTTTCACTCTGTAGGTAAATTCCTGAATTTCCTCTGGATACCTGGATATTTCCTAAAAATTCTACTTGCATTACAGAAGCCAATAGACCATATCTAATCATAATTAATTACCTGGAATGTGTAAGTGCCTTAGTAGTATGTTTGCATTTCCCAGTTCACAAAGTGTTTGCACTCCACACCAAGAAATTAAAAACTAAGAGATTATTTTAAAAGGGATTAAAAATTATTTCCAAATTACATTAAGGATAAAAAAGAGAGAGAGAAAAGGTTTTTTGGGCAACTGATTTCTGCTCCAAGGCCATCCTGGACCAGTCTTGAATGGACTTAGCTATTCTGTTCCACAAACACTCAGGAATTATCTGCTGGTGGTCTCCCTTCTATGGGCAATTCAAAGAGAACACACAACTCTCAGGACTCAAGCAGACACTGGGTCCTGTGCCCTCCTCTAGGTCTACACATGGAAGAAGAGTCTCTCTGTTGCTGAGAAATTACTCTTGTGGGAAGTTTTTATGTGATTTAGGAGCTCATAGCTGCTGAGGTAGCTCTGGGGTCAACCTGCAAGCCTTTTGTTTCAGATTTTGGAGTTCAACCAGAAGAAGGAATCTCCACATGGAAAAATGTTCAATTATTCAATGAACTATAATTTGGGCAGTCAACTAGGCTGATATTTGTATAAATATATGGTGGTATTATTGGTTTCAAAATAAAATCAGAAGCAAGGAAAGGTGAGAGAAACACCCATGTCACTTATGCAGTATTATGTTCAAAGGCAGAAAGTTGTAGAACCACAGCCAGTTTGCTAAAACATAAATGGAGAGTCTTAACAGCTAAGAATTTGTCAAATGTGTTTCTTTTACTTTTTTTCCTATTAAAAATATTTCTATCCAAGAAGGTTAGTCAGAGTAACATAGTGTGCTTCAGGGAAAAGAGCTAGAGCTGAGCAGGGCCACAGACTTGAGAAAGCACAAAGTCAGAATAAAGGCAAAGGAGGTCCTAGGAAGGATCACCAAACAGTCAAGACTCAAGGAAGAAGATGCCTGGCAACAGGTTATGGATTCAGAGGTAGAGTTTCTGACATGGAAAGGGTCTGTCAGTGACCCTTTGATGGCAAAAATCCACTTTTGGAGACAGAAGGCTGGGGTAACATTTTCCAACTTGTCATTTCCAAGTCTTTCCTTTAAAACGAAAAGAAAAACCCCTTACTTCGAGAAGGGATAAAGCCATACCTTCCCTGTTTTGAGGGAGTGGGCAGTCACTACTCAGCTATTTGGAATGACAAATCCATCTGCTTGAGATGAAAGTCATCAGTAGAAGTAGTAAGGAGGTGAACTTGCCCTTGAAATGATGCAGATGACAGTAAATGTCCTACAAAGGGTTTATACTTAGAAGAAAACTTCCTCCTCTTTAGCACCCAGAATTTTTTTCCCTTTTTCTCTGTTTTCTGCTTCAAAGAAGTTGTGGCATGAGTGCAAGTGATCTTCCCACTCTAACCATTCAAATAGGTTGGTACTACAGGCATGTGCAACCATGCTAAGCAAGCACCAAGAATTCTTGCTATTTAGATAGCTATAACAATGTATTAAAAATGTTCCCCCTAATTAAAACTGGGAGATGGGAATAGGGATGTTGGGAGGGAATAAAAGAATACACTACATTTTAAAGTGCAGAAAACAAACTTCCTGGATCAGCAATTTTCCAAATTAAGTTTGTTCTGGTAACAATTGTAGTAATTTATATCAAGGAACTAAATGGTATTCAATTATAAAGATATCCACCATAATATCTAGCAGTGAAAAGTTAGGACGTATCTTAAAGATTCAAGCAATAAGAAATTGGTTTAAGGCTGTGTGCCAGTGGCTCATGCCTATAATCCTAGCTACTCAGGACACTGAGATCTGAGGATCACAGTACAGAGCCAAAAGTAGAGCTGTGGTTCAAGTGGTACAGAGCTAGCCTTGTGCAAAAAAAGCTCAGGGACAGTGCTCAGGCCCTGTGTTCAAGCCTCAGGACCAGCACAAAAAAGAAGAGGAAGAAAAAGAGGAGGAGGAGGAGGAGGAGGAAGAAGAGGGGGAGGAGGAGGAGGAAAGAAAAAGAAAAAGGGTTAAAATGGTGTGATAGAAGTGCCTGGAATATATGCATGCATTTAGAAACCTTTATATTTAGAAAAATATTTAGTGAGAACATATCCATAATAATTTAAGTGAAAAAAGCAGATTAGATAATAATAATGTATTATCTGGATTATATACATAATTTATTAATATATTTTATATTATATAATTTGGATTATGTTTTATATAATTATATATTACATATTTATTTTATATGATAAAATATACATTTATAATATATGTTATATAATATGTATATATTGCAATATTGTATTAGAGATCCAAGCAGGTATAACAGATTGCAACTGGTATGGTTAAAATAAGGCCTTAGAAATTAGTTTTACATAAATAACAACAATCTTGATTTCCCATGTAATAAAAACAAAATCTTCTCTAAGAAGATGATGTGAACTTGAGTATGATAAAAATGTTACCTTGTGCCAGCCTTTTAAAGGCCATTTTCTTTTCTTCAGCATAAATCCCTCATGTTTGTCTGGTTTCTGGACATTAGTTTGGCCTATTTTCAGTCCTTCTATAATTTCCCAGCTGTCAGCTTCCTGAGAGAAAAGAAAAACAAAATCACATATTTTCTGTGGTTAATGACACACTTAAAGCAGCTTCTTAAGGAGAAAGTCATTTTTGAAGCAACACTCAACCTCCCAGAAATATGAAAGATATTCTGAAGCAAACTATAAGACCAGACACAGCCATGTACTTTTAAGTGAAGGTAAAAGGAATTTTCCAGGTAGACCTGCAAGCACTTGGAATCCATCAGACTCACTAGGGCTACCTTGTTGTCTACTTGAGGTGAAAAAAGAATTTCGATTGCTTGTCCTCAAAATGTTTAAGAGAAATTTTCCTTTCCTGGCAGTAACCTGAGCCAGAGTAACTTTTAAGTTTCAAAATAAGGCTGTTTTGATGACAAATGTTTGATTAGTATGGATTAGTATGATTAGTATGGCTTTTTGTGTAAAACTGGAAAGGCCATAATGATCTAAAGTGGCTCATAACTTGCTATTAACAGAGAAGAGAAGTGCTATTTCCTCTTCTGGTGTGGTTCTGAGCAACTCAGAGTGGACATCAAAGTACTTAGTCAACCAAACACCACACACCTACAAGCCAGAGAGCTATTTTTGATGGATATAATCAAGAAATTCAAAGGAAAAACTCCATGTATATGCAAATAGATTCGCCAGACCTCTCTGTTCTTAGACTGAAGTCAGCTGTATGTAAGATATTTCTATTTTTAGTGGTCTCATCCATAGATAGTATCTCCCAATGAATAACAATTTTATTTCTGACTACATCCTATTTAAAGGCTAGTGTGTTCAACTGTGTATGGGTGTGTGGTGTGCGTGTGTGTGTGCCATTTATGTGTGATGAAAAATATTCTTTATAACTCATGAATGAAAACATTTAATAATAAGTCCAAGTACTTTTTAGTAATGAATCTCAGAATATAATAAAAATATATTCTCTTGGAATTTAACTGGAAAGGGGAAGAAGAGGGATAAGACAGAAATAAAAAAGTTAAAATGTATTTTTCTTCACAAATGCTGTAGCTCTGAAAAAATAATTCCATTTTCTTTGATACAGTATTCCTAAACTGAGCAAAAGAAAGAGAAAATAATCCTAATATAGTTCTTACAAGTAAATAAGCTGTCAGTTGATGAACAAAGGATAAAACCAGAACAAATAAGATGGGTGCCGGTGGCTCACGCCTGTAATCCTAGCTACTCAGGAAGCTGAGATCTGAGAATCGCGGTTCAAAGCCAGCCCAGGCAGGAAACTCCGTGAGACTCTTATTTCCAATAAACCACCAGAAAACCAGAAGTGGCGCTGTAACTCAAGTGGTAGAGCACTTGCCTTGAGCTGAAGAGCTGAGGGACAGAGCTGATGCCCAGAGTTCAAGCCCCACGACCGACAAAAAAACAAACAAACAAACACACAAACAAAAAGAACAAATAATGTTCAAACTATTTTAATTATAAATGCAGCTGATATTACAAATAAAATATGTAAGAAATAAAACAGCTTGTCAGTACAACAAAGAATCTGCATTCTGTTTTCCATTATGCTGAAATTCCTCCCTCTATGCTTAGTAGATAGACTACATTAGGAAAAGTAAGATAACTTTCTAAAAATTAAATACTTTTTTGAAATTTTAATTGATATTCCTTTCTTTTTCTTTTCTTTTCCTTATTTCTTTTTTTGGCCTGTCATGAGGCTTGAACTCTGGGCCAGGCACTGTCCCTCAGCTCTTCAGCTCCAGGCTGGTACTCTACCACTTGGGCCACAGTGCCACTTCCAGTTTTCTGGTGGTTTATTGGAGATAAGAATCTCAAGCCAGGTGCTGGTGGCTCACGCTTGTAATCCTAGCTACTCAGAAGGCTGAGATCTGAGGATTACAGTTCAAAGCCAGCCTGGGTAGGAAAGTCCGTGAGACTTTTATCTCCAATAAACCACTAGAAAACCGTAAGTGGTGCTGTGGTACAGCACTCAGGATAGCGCCCAGGCCCAGTTCAAGCTCCAGGACCGACTAAAAAAAAAAAAAAAAAAGAATATCATGGACTTTCCTGCCCAAGCTGGCTTTGAACCACAATCTTCAGATCTCAGCCTCTTAAGTAGCTAGGATTACAGGCATGAGCCACTGGTACCTGGCTCCTTTCTGCCTTAAACAGTACAATTTTCTAGTTCTACTTACAATAGAAATAGAGACAAAAGTCCTGATGTGATCACACCTGTACTTGACTAAATATTCTTGGGAGATTATATAAAGTTTAAAATTTTTTATCTAATTATAAATTAGTAAAGCCAGAAAGTAATGTAGCCTGAGCTTCTTCACTGAAAGAGACATTTCTTTTCTCAAGGATATCTTGTGTATGTGTATTCGTGTGTGCGTATTTAAGTGTATGTGTTTATATGTGTGTTTGTGTGTGTATGAGAGAGAGAGAGAAAGAGAGAGGGAGACAAAGAGAGAGAGAAAGAGAGAGGGGGGAAGGAGAGAAAGAGGGAGAGAGAAAGGGTATGTAGCTGGGCTGGTGGAGTTGAAAAACATCAAAGAATCTGAACAAATCCTTAGTCAGAACAATGTGTACTTCAAAACTCTTCTACTACCAAACAATGCCCAGGAAGCCTATCTTCTCTTTAAGGGCCAACAGATGGTGAGATGCACCTTGTACCTGATTGGTTGTTTCCTCTAATTCCATAGGGTCCCAAGATACACTAATACACAACAGAAGAGATTATAGCAAGATCCAATGGGAAACAATATGGAGAATTAATGGATGGTGGATAGTGTTGGTGCCTCACCAAGATCAATTGGTCAGTCTAGTGGACCCAAAACCCAGCTACTGGGAATAGGGATAACTATGGGAAATTAACGTTTGACTAAGTTGAAGCCCTTAGGTCTGAGAAATTATTCTGTAATTATAAGTCAAATGTGAATGAATTTAGGGAGTGATTGTGAAAAAAAACTTTAATCCAATGCTTGGCACAAAACTGGTGCTCAATAAATACTATCAGCCTTTTCCAAAGCCCATATTTATTTATTGTTGGTTTCTCATTTTAACTATAAGAGAAACTGGATGTTTGCAAGAGATATGAGAGTTCTATTTACCAAGTATGCATCCTTTATTTGTTGTTTAAATGGAAGTCAGTCACTTTTTATTCCTCTACAAATTATTTTTACAGTTTAATAATTCTCTCCTTTCCATGGCTTACCCCTCTATTCCTGTCTGACAGAATACACTTTGCAGCTTCTCATGGCTTTAAAGATGTACAAGTGCACACGTTCCATACTACTAAAGCAGTTATCTGTTCTTAAAAGATGGTGCTTAACACAGGAAAGGCAAATGAAAGGATCAGTACTACATATTTAGAAGCTCATCATCTTTTGAAACAAAGTGCTATTTTTATATGAGAATTCAGAATGCATAGTATTTCCATAGTTTCCCAATCTGAGTCAGCCCACTGAACATCCCAGGGAAGAATGGAGATGACTGGGACACTGTCTCCTCAACTGACTTTTGCATTTTAGACATAAATGACTCTAGATGTTTCCCAGCCTGACGAAGAGCAGCTAAAGGGGAAGAAAAAGGCATCTAGGAAACACAAAAGGTCTTAATAATCTATAGTGTTCTCTCTAGAGCTCACTGGGAAGTAGGCCGGATGTGAACAGATAGGACCTGAATGCATGATGGCCTCTCTGTATAGCTGCTATTGATCTTGCAGGCCATACGGAAAGCATCCATTACCAAGTTGGGAAACATCTAAGATTAAATTCATGATCTGTTACTTATTTGCTTTTTTAAAACTTGGGTTATTTTCAGTTGCTACACTTGTAAAGATCTCTATCTATCTATCTATCTATCTATCTATCTATCTATCTATCTATCTATCTATCTATCTATCTATCTATCTACATGTAAAGTGTTATAAACATCTACCCTGCATGCAGTATGTGAACAACAGTGGTGGCTGTAGTTATTGCTATACCCAGTGGTATTGTTTTTCATTAGCTCAGAATAGAAATATTTGCTTATCATTCCAACATGGAAAAGCAATAGTTACCCTTTCTTTCTTCACTTAAAGTAAGGACAATTTTATACCTGTTTGTGAGAACCTGAAAATCCAAGCTGTGAGACTCAAAGGATTGGGAGTCTGAAATGCCTTCTTCCAATACACTCTCAGAACACTGAGAGTTTTCCTGGAAAGGTAAATCAGTTCTGGCTTAACGAAAACTCAGATTTTATCCTAAACTGTGTGGGAGCCTAAGAGTAGACTTAGGTTTATGCAAATTGTAAGCTGTTTACTGTTTAGCTCTCCTTCCCAGTATAAGAAGGTTACCTACCACTTGTATACAAAATATTGTCTCGTGTTCAAGTCTGTAGCTTACTTCCTTGCACAAGATCAATAAAAATCTTGGTTTAATGGAACCTTGGGATCTGTTGCCTGCAGAAGGTTACAGGTGCTCCGGTACCCAAACCTCAGTTGCATGGTCCCGTCTCCCTTATTGCGTTGCTCCTGATTGTGGCAGATTAAGAAGCACGTGTCCGGTTGTGACACTTTTCTATGAAACCTTACAAATCTAAGAAAAATGTAGTTTCAGCTACTCTCTTCTTACATGAAATAGAAAACCCTCCCCCCAAACTCTGTACTTATGGGAAGCAAAAAGAAATAGAAGAGATGCCCTAGAGTTAGCATCCCTTAAGAAAGCCAGGATAAAAGTTATTCACAGTTTCACAGTTCATTTGACCCCACAGAAAAGACATCATTCCAAAGCAATCGCATTCTATCACTGACCTTGGAGAGGGGGACTGGCTCTGGTTCTAGCAATTGCCGACTTACAGAAGGCTCTGTGCTGGAGGAAGCAGTCCTCTCCAGTATGTGGATACTCTGCAAATGAACGAATCATAGCCAGGATTAGAACACCAACTTCTCATATCAGTGGGCAATGACGGGCACAGACAGAGTGTTATGTTAAAAATGGCAAGTGCTCCAGAGGCAAAGACAACAGCAGCAGGAGAGTTCATCAGCACAGGAACTCAATGCTTCTCTTTCAGGTTCATTACCAAATTCCTGCTAAACCTTAGGACACACAAATGCATTAAGCATGTTTGACATTTCTATACCTTTACAGAAATGGCTCATTTACTTCTCACACTTACTAGCTTTCCATACAAATATCTATACATCTCTCCAACAGAAAATTGCAATGCAGAGAAAGATCTGTGTTATAGTCTTAACATTCTTTCATTTCTTTTTTTTTAAATTTATTTTATTGTAAAGAGGCTGTACAGAGGGGTTGCAGTTACATGAGTAAGGCTGAGTACATTACCTGTCAAGCATTGCTACCCCTTCCCTTGTTCTCCTACTATCCCTTCCCGCCCCCACCTCTCACCCTCTCTAACCTCTCACCCCCAAAGTTGTAAAGTTAATTTCTAATATACTGTCTTGTGGGTATCATTATTGCAATCCCTAGAATTTCTTGTGAATGCAAAAGAAAATAGTTCAATGAATGCAAGAAAAAGTTTCTTTTAATATAACTTGGTCTTAATATGACAGTTAATTTCATATTCTTTCAGTGACATGGAAACTTATATCACTTCACTGAAGTTGTTATACCTGTTATATAAGTTATATAACATATATTGTATTCATGATTATTTTTATAAATTTATTTATTTTCTTATATAAGCATATTATATTATATATGATTATATAACATATATTTATATAATATCTAATATAATCTAATATGTTATAAAATTAATACTATTATATTATATATTAATATATGTTATGTTAATATATTATATATAAATCTAATATATTATGTGTTGTTTATTATATTTATATATTTATATTTATTATATAAATTATATAACATATATCTTATTCATGAGTTTTTAAAATTTTATTTTATTGTAAAGATGCTGTACAGAAGGGTTACCATTACATGAGTACATTTCTTGTCAAACATTGCCCTTTCCCTTGTTTTTCTCCCACTATCCCTTCCTACCCCTACCTTCCTCACTCCTCCCCCTCCCCGTCAAAGTTGTAAAGTTCATTTCCAATATAGTGTCTTGTGGGTATCATTGTTGCAATGGGTCATCCTGTGTCCTGTTTCAGCATTTTGTTGTTCCTCTTCCCCTCCCCAAATTACACAAATTTATATACATGATGCAGGGTACCAAAATCAAATACAGTGACAACAGGGAAAAGAACATACAAAGGAAACAAAAAATATCACATAGTAAATTAAAAACAACAAAAACAACAAAGATTTCTTGTGTCCATATCTTGAGGTTCATTTCAATTAGCATCATCTTATGGGCAGTTACCAAAATGATCACAAACAAAGCCATACTAAAGCTACCAGCACAACTATGTTTAACACAGCATTATTAACCATAGCTAAGATATGGAACCAACCCAGATGCCCTTCAGTAGATGAATGGATCAAGAAAATGTAGTGTGTGTGTATATATATACATAAATATATATGTATATATATAATGGAATGTTATGCTTCCATCACAATGAATGGCATTGCCCCATTTGTTAGGAAATGGAAAGACTTGGAAAAAATCATATTAAGTGAAGTAAGCCAGACCCAAAGAAATATAGGTCCCATGGTTTCCCTCATTTGCAATAATTAGTATATGTCTAGGATAATTTTATCAGATGAACAGAAAAGCTCATGATTTTTAAAATCAAATTTCCTCTCAAATCCTAAAGTTACTACCTAATTTCCAGGTCAACTTTGTAAGGCATCGTGAGCCCACAGAGATGGCAGATGTACTTACCCAACCAGGGGTCTCCCTAGAGTGAGCGCATTGATGCATACTGAATGCAACTTAGCAGTCTAGAGCACAATTCCATGTGGCTCTCCAGCTTGGCAAAAGTATGCTCTCTGGGTTAGTGATCACTTTCTCAGTACCTCCTGGGTAGCAAGAGGAAATCTGACAACACCCCTGTGATCTAGTTTCTTCAATAGAAAGATAGACAATGAGACCCTTAATAATAGCTGAATGGTTCAGTGTCACTTGCGCAGGGAAGCCGGACTCCAGATGATTGGCCGAGTGGGCTTCATGTTATTTACTACTTTAAATTCATTTCAAAGGTAGAAAACAATTGTTGGGAAAGTTTCAAGCTACATCTACAGATTTCTGTAACTGACTCAGTTTTCATGCAAGTTTAGGCAGTAGTGTCAACTTCCCTGAAGTGGTTCATCTATCTTATTATCTAACCTGTTTTCATATTCATAAATTACACAAATATTTTCCAAGAAAAGCATGCAAAATAATTCAGAAATTTCTAAAGTATTTTTAAGCCTTTGGGTTATTAGCCCTGTCTCTTCATTGTAGACAATTTTAATCTAGGAACACAATTTTAGGGCTAATAATAACTTTCATGCGTTGGTGGTAGTGGCATTGCTGCTGGCAATGAGCATGTATTGACTGCTTTCAGTATCTGATCTCTATGTTTTCCATGAATTATTTCACCACATCTCCACAAGAAGCTATTAAACTTACTTTATGGCTGATTACACAGTGAGACACAGAGTTGGTAAGTGATAGAGTTGGGATGTCAATCAAAATTTTGTTTTAGAGTCCAACCTTTTAAACAATAACTTCAATTGAAGTTAAGGCTAATGTTAAAGGAAAAGAATTACAGCAATTTCAAACAGCACTGTCTCTCAACAACAAAATGATTATAGAACTCTTAAATATCATGCAACCTTAAGGTTAATTTCTTTGTCACCCTTTGAGCTACCTCAAGGTTAATTTATAGTTTGTAATGTACAAGAACCAAGAAAAATCAGCAAGTTTTACTTGGGATACAGTGCATGATGTAACTAACAGAACCTAAGCTTGGCAGTCACACAGACTGGCATACCAAACACTGTTCTGGTTACCATGTGACTCAGACAAGTCACTAACCTCTACTCTATCTGTAAAATGGGAACAATAATACATAATTCACAAGTCACTGCAGGTCACAGAGTTTACCCAGTATAATGAATTGTACAGCTCAGAGACTTGCAACAGTATGCACTTACCATCCAGCTGTAAATACTATAAGCAACACAAACAAATGCCTAGGAAGCTTGCAAGATTCCTTCGGCCACAAAAATGTCTACAAAACTCTTCAGGGAGCCATTTGAGAATAATAAATTCTTCCTTATATGGCCACCATCCTACTCCTTCAACTGCTGTCAGCACCACCTTGTAATATAGTTTGGAGGCTATGGATGTGAATGGAGGCAATGCCCTAGATACAATGGGAAGCTAACAGGAACTCTGGCAACTTGGACTCTGCCCACCAAACGCCTGCCGAACAAGTGTGGGCTTGCCTTCTGCCATCTTAATAATTTCCTTTAAGGAGTTTTTTTTTCTTTTGATAACATGAGATATTTAAATCATGAAAGGCAAAAGGCCACGGCTGAAGATGCAGTAATCCTACTTACTTCATGGCACAATTATCTGTCCTTCACTGAAAGACAGCAGCAGTGAATTTAATAGTAAGCTGCCATGAAAGCTCAGCTAAAGTCAAAGCAGAAAATTTTAGAAACAGTAGCTGAAAATAGGCTCTGCAGCATACATGGGAGACCGTGGAGGGAGAAACCCCCACCAGAGCCAGTTCTGCCTGCACTGAAATGGAGTCATTCTGAATGACCAGCTAGTGCTCACACGTATCTATTCTGCTTGTGGAAACACTTCTCATAAAAAGCACTATTTCTCAGCTATTAATGGACCCACTGAGTGCTCCACTGATAGATGAGAAATAGTTTAATGATCTTGACTTAAGTGACAAAAGGCATAGGAATAAATAGATTTGTAATCTCCATGGCTGCCTTTAAGTAGAAAAGAAAAACCTAGGCTGGGAAGGTGGCTCAGTGGTAGAGCGCTTGCCTTGCATGCATGAGGCCCTGGGTTCGATTCCTCAGCACCACATAAACAAAAAGAAAAAAGCCGGAAGTGGCACTGTGGTTCAGGTGTTAGAGTGCTAGCCTTGAGCTGAAGAGCTGAGGGACAGAGCCCAGGCCCAGAGTTCAGGCCCCATGACTGGACCCCCAAAAAAATAAATAAATAAATAAAAAATTAAAAAAAAAAAAGAAAAGAAAAACCTAGAACTTATTCAATAGTGAAGTCACTCCTTACCCCCCTGTTCTGGAACATTCCACAATGTAGCACAATTATTGGTGGCCAAAGCCACTGTAGTGAGAGTGGGGTTGGGAAAGATGGGGGAGAATGATGGAAGGGATGACATTAATCAAGATGCATTGTACTCATAAAATGACATGTTGAATTGAAACATCTTTGTAAAACCACTTAAAGATAATATATAAAAATATTTTAAAGTAGATACTATCATGCTTTCTTTAACAGGTACAAATTAAAAGATAATGCAAACAAGCACTAGGCCATTTCACAAGCCAAGGTCTAGAACACATAGGTTCACTTAAAAGAAAGGAGAACAGAAAAGAATACTAATCTATCTTCAGTCTCCTACAAGGCTTCCACAACTACCAGAAACAAAAAAAGAGTTTTGGTATATAATCTTTCACATAGTTTACTAATAATGCAAGCAACAATAAAAAGGTGTTAAACCACTACCAACAACAAAATAAAATAATCCCATATGTTCCTTTTAGAATTTAAGTATGCAAAGTCAGGCAATGTGATTACCCTTGTAAACTCAGCAGGTTTATCTATGATTATGTCTATTTGTACTCATATATACTTGCTGAGTGAAAGAATGAATAAATATTTGTTGTAATATACAGTGCCTACTAAGGTATGAGATTAAATGTAGATAATGAAAAAGATATAAAGTGGCCCAGCCCATACCTCAGAACCTTAAGGAAAATTTAGGAAATTCCTTCAAGT